TTTTTTTTTTTTTTCGGAGGAAAGGACAAAGAGAGAAGAAGCGAGAAACATTGCGATCACGCTGGGAGAGGTTGAGGACGGAGAAGTCGGGATGGAAATCATGAGAGGTCGGGATGGGAGTGAGGGATGGAGGAAGAACTGAGCGGAGGAAAAAGGACAAAAACAGAAGCAGCAAGAAACGTTGCGATCACGCTGGGAGAGGTTGAGGACGGAGAAGTCAGGATGTAAATTATGAAAGGTCGGGATGGGAGTGAGGGATGGAGGGAGAACTGAGCGGAGGAAATGTTGGGACCACGTTGGGAAGGGTTGAGAAGGGAGACGTCGTGATGAGAATCCCGAGAGGTCGGGATGAGAGTGAGGGATGGAGGGAGAAGTAAGCGGAGGAAGGAAAGGGAGGAGAGGTCGGGATGGGGAGGGAGAGACGTCGGGATGGGACGGGGAGAAGCAGAGGTCGGGATGGGACTCAGGAAGAAGGAGGGATCGAAGTCAGGATAGGATCGAAGTCGGGATAGGGGAAGGAAGTGAGAGGTCGGGATACGCTAGGAGGGGTTGAGGAGGGAGAAGTCGGGATGGGAATCGCGAGAGGTCGGGATGGGAGTGCGGGATGGAGGGACAAGTAAGCGGAAGAAATGTTGGGACCACGCTGGGAAGGGAGAAATCGGGATGGAGAGTCGGGAGAGGTCGGGATGGGAGTCGGGAAAAGGAGGAGGAGAGGTCGGCATGTCGGGATATGGTCGGGAGGGGGAGGGCCAGAGGTCAGGATGGGACTTGGAAGGGAAAAGTCGGGATGGAGAGTCGGGAAAGGTCGGGATGGGAGTCGGGAAAAGGACGAGAAGAGGTCGGAATGTCGGGATATGGTCGGGACGAGGAGGGGCAGAGGTCGGGATGGGAGTCGGGAAGACAAGGGGATCGAAGTCGGGATAGGGGAAAGAAGCGAGAGGTCGGGATACACTGGGAGGGGTTTAGAAGGGAGAAGTTGGGATGGGAATCGCGAGAGGGAGAAGTTGGGAGAGGTCGGGATGGGACGGGGAGAAGCAGAGGTCGGGATGGGACTCAAGAAGAGGGAGGGATCGAAGTCGGGATAGGATCGAAGTCGGGATAGGGGAAAGAAGCGAGAGGTCGGGATACGCTAGGAGGGGTTGAAGAGGGAGAAGTCGGGCGAGAGGTCGCGATACGTTGGGAGGGGTTCAGAAGGGAGAACTTGGGATGGGAATCGCGAGAGGGAGAAGTTGGGAGAGGTCGGGATGGGACGGGGAGAAGCAGAAGTCGGGATGGGACTCGGGAAGAGGGAGGGATCGAAGTCGAGATAGGATCGAAGTCGGGATAGGGAAAAGAAGCGAGAGGTCGGGATACGCGAGGAGGGGTTGAGGAGGGAGAAGTCGGGATGGGAATTGCGAGAGGTCGGGATGGGAGTGAGGGATGGAGGGACAAGTAAGCGAAAGAAATGTTGGGACCACGCTGGGAAGGGAGAAGTCGGGATTGAGAGTCGGGAAAGGTCGGGATGGGAGTCGGGAAAAGGACGAGGAGAGGTCGGAATGTCGGGATATGGTCGGAAGGAGGAGAGGTAGAGGTCGGGATGGGAGTCAGGAAGAGGGGGGATCGAAGTCTGGATAGGGGAAAGAAGCGAGAGGTCGGGATACGCTGGGAGGGGTGGAGAAGGGAGAAGTTGGGATGGGAATCGCGAGAGGGAGAAGTTGGGATGAGAATCGCGAGAGGTCGGGATGGGAGTGAGGGATGGAGGGAGAAATAAAGGGTTGAGGAGGGAGATGTCGGAATGGGAATCACGAGAGATCGGGATGGAAGTAGGAAAGCGGGAGGGAGGCAAAAATGGTCGGGACAGGGAGGGGCAAAGGTCGGGATGGGAGTCAGGAAGAGCGAGGGATAGAAGTCGGGATAGGGGAAAGAAGTGAGACGTCCGGATATGCTGGGAGGGGTTGGAGACATTGGCATGGGGAGGGAGAGAGGTCGGGATGGGAGTCCCGAGGAGGGAGGGAGAGGGAGAAAGAATCTAACAGGAAAGGGAGAGGGAGAAACGATGGACGGAGGGGCCAACGAAGGTAGAGAAGGAGGGAGAAGTCGGGATGGGAGTCGGGGAGGAAGAAGGTTGTTTGTTTGTTTTTTTGTCTTTTTTTTTTTTTTTGCGAAGAAAACGAGAAAGAGGGAAGCGAGGAAACGTTGGCACCACGCTGGCAGGGGTTGAGGAGCGAGAAGTTGGGATGGGAATCACAAAAGGTCGGGATGGGAGTGAGGGACGGAGGGAGAAGTCGGGATGGGGAGGGAGAGAGATTGGGATGGGAGTCAGAAGGAGGAAGGGGGAGGGAAAAAAGATCTAACAAGAAGGGCAGAAGGAGGGGCAATGGAGGGAAGGGTTGACGAAGGAAGGGAAGGAGGGAGAAGTCGGGATGGGAGGCGAGATCGGTCGAAGACATCGGGATAGACGACGGAGGAAAGATCTAGAGAGTCAGAATACGATCGGGATGGAGAAGGGGAAAAGTCGGCATGGGAGTCAAGAGGAAGGAGGGATGCAAGTCGCGATACGGGAAAGGAGGGATAGATCGGGATAGAGACGGGAAGTGGTCGGGATCGGAATCGGAAAAAAGAAGGACGTCGGAATATCGTCGGGATGGGGGTCGGAAAGAGCGAGGAATCGAAGTCGGGATACCGGAAAGAAACGAGAGGTCGGGATGGGGAGGGAAAGTGATCGGGATCGGAGTCGGGAAGAGGAAGGACATCGGAAAAGCTTTTTTTTTTTTTTCCCTTTATTTCGTGCACATACACACCAACATCTCGATAACATCTCAAAGGAGGCGTTGCGAGCACAAATCGAGGCGAGGAAGGCAACCATACCAAAATAAAGGAGGCAGGATAGTAATTGAAATAGGGGAAGACAAGAGGGTGACAGACCACCGGAAGAAGGAGGAAAGAAGCGTAGAGAGTTTTTTTTTTTTTCTGATTCTTTTCAGTTTCATGTCGATAACATCTGAAATTTTTCCATAGCCTTTTTTTTTTTTCTTCCTTCTCAATTTTTTTTTCCCCCTAGTCTGTAAATCAATACAATTTTATTCCATTTCGACTTTTTTTTTTTGTCTAATTCTTTTCAGTTTCATGTCGATAACATCTGAAATTTTTCCATAGCCTTTTTTTTTTTTTTCCTTCTCAATTTTTTTTTCCCCCTGGTCTGTAAATCAATACAATTTTATTCTATTTCTTCAATTGTTTTTTATTTTTTTTTCCTATATAGGCATCCGCGAAACCCGATACCAACAATAACCATGTCCATGACATACCCTTTCTTTTTTTTCTTCCTTCTCAATTTTTTTTTTTCCTGGTCTGTAAATGAATACAATTTTATTGCATTTCTTCAATTTTTTTTTTTCCCTACATAGGCATCTGCGAAACCCGATACCAACAACAACCATGTCCACGAGTCCGACAAACATGCCCACGAAAGTACATACATGAAAAATGTCATTGCACTAACTATACATTCTCTTTCTGTGTGTGTGTTTTCTATGTTCCGTCCTTTCTCCTCATTATTCTTCTCTGCTGTCTAACCACCATTATTTTATGCTATCTTCTCCTCGTGACATTAGCCGAAAGTTCTTGGGCCGCCATAGAAAGAACACAATCCGCAGGAAGAGAACAACAAAGACGTTTCAAACAAAGACGCATTGAGATATCTGACCACGAATCAACAGCGCACGTATTCACACATCTACCTTATTTCAGCAGCAACTTTCGGTTGATATAATCGATATCGGAAATAGGACACCTTGCACACACTATCAAGATGAAAAATGGCCTCACGAACACACATGGACATCACTCTGTTGCCTGCGGAAGAGAACAACAAAGATGTTTCAAACAAAGACGCATTGAGATATCCGACCACGAATCAACAGCGCACGTATTCACACATCTACCTTATTTCAGTAGCAACTTTCGGTTGATATAATCGATATCGGAAATAGGACACCTTGCACACAATGTCAAGCTGAAAAATGGCCTCACGAACACGCATGGACATCACTCTGTTGCCTGCGTGACAAAGTGCAACCGCCACTCTGGACCTATCCTGACACAATGACACCTGCTGACCGCATTTTAGATCTATGGGGAAAAAAAAACAGACATGGTAGATTGTTACGATCACGCGCACGCCAGTTCAATACTGCACACCAATCTGTCAGAGAAACCCAAATGTTTGTCGGGCGTTGGCCAGGTATTCTAAGAATAGAAGACCGACTTCAACAACACATCGGTCCACTACTCCCAAATTCAAATCAACAACCATCATTCGCCCAGATATACATACATGATCCACAAGATGGCAATCGTGCAACCCTATTACGTTTACAAAGACTCGATCTACCACAAGACACCCCGCTTGCCACAGTTCAAGTCATCAAATCTCCCCTACGAACCCTTCATTCTTTGCTCTGTCAATGCAATCGATGGGTTCAAGATTTCATTACCCTATCTGAATTCCCGGAACATACGCTGGATAATGTCTACGTTGTCATCAACGCAGATGCACGTCTATCAGAAGAGCATGCTCAAAGATAAAATAGACCAGAAGGGCTTCAAGAGCTCTGTCTTCTAATGCATGACCAACCTGTTAATCGAGAAATCGGAATCCATCAACGTGCTGGTGGAGTTCTACCTATTCCGGAAACAAACCGAGCATTTGATCTACTACACTATACCCTGCTCTTTCCTTCGGGCGAAGATGGATGGGCAGCTGAACAAGATGAACAATTGGATTCCAATATTCATAACATCATTGCTCGAGAATTCTACGCATTTCATCTTAATACACGTCGTACAGAAAGAACCACAGTTTTTCGCGCTTCACGTTTTTTTCAAGAATATGTTTGTATGATGTTTGCTAAAATTGAGAACGCCCGCCTTCTGTACAATCGTTTCCACCAAGCGGAGATCCGCGCAGATCTCTATCAGAACCTCCATGACCACGTTATGCTACATGACAATACAAAAAATATTGGCCAACAATTATTCTCCCCACATCGTTCACGGGTGGTCCACGCGACATGCATCAACGATATCATGATGCGATGACCGATGTTCAAGAAATGGGTGCTCCCGATCTATTCATCACAAAAACCTACAATCCGCACTGGACTGAAATTGAAAACGCATTGTTGCCAAACCAGCAACCAGCAGATAAACCTGACTTACTTGCACGTGTTTTCAAAGGATACCTGCGACAACTCATCCACGATATCCACTCGAGTCACATCTTTGGAATAACTACTGCATATGTGTACACTATCGAGTTTCAAAAGTGTGGCTTACCGCATGCTCATCTTATTGTGATTCTTAAAGATGGTGCTAACATTTCTACGCCCGAACAGATCGACACTATTGTCCGTGCTGAAATCCCCATAAATTCAGAACTGCACGAACTCGTGTTATCTCATATGATGCATAATCCATGTGGAATATACAATCCTACCGCATCGTGCATGCACAACGATCGATGCACACGATTTTTCCCCAAAGACTTTTCGAAGCGAACAACGTGGAATGAAGAAACTGGATATCCTATCTACCGCCGCCGTTCACCGTCTGATGGGGGAATAACAACTTCTCAACTTGATCGACTTATCGACAACTCTTAGATTGTATCCTATAATCCATATCTCCTTCTTCGCTACCGTTGCCATATAAATACCAAAATTTGTGCATCGATAGCCGCCTGTCGCTATATGTTTGAATATATCTTAAAAGGTCCCGGCAGAGCAATGGTCGTTGACGCGCTCAATACAAATGATGAGATTCAAACCTATCAAGATATGCGCACAATTGGTGCAACTGAAGCATGTTGGAGAATCTTTGACTTCGTCACATCATAACGATATCCTTCCGTAACCGCACTTCCAGTTCATACAGAAAATCGCCAACGCGTCTATTTCCGATGGCAACAACAAGCTCAACAAATTGCACATGCTCCACCACCTGAAACCGAACTCACAGCATGGTTCAAATGGAATGCAACACACCTTCATGATCCTGAAGAAACTAAGCCCCTTTACAAAGACATGGTCCACAAATTCCGATTCGATAAGCCGAGTAAAAAATGGATACTACGACAACGTGCAACAAACACAATCGGTCGTATCCACAACATCCATCCGAACGCAGGTGACATATTTTA